GCAGGTTTTAAGTATCCGCAGCGCTAGCTGACTGGGAAATTCTGAAAACTGCGTCAGCTGGCTGATACAGCCAAGACAAATACCGGGTCGTCGCCCGTATCATCGTGTCATCCAGTCACGTCGCTCAAGCGTGAGTACATGTATATGGTCTGACCTGAAAACGCAGGTGCATTCTGCATGATAAGTTGGGGTAGTGATAACATGCTCGTCTCGCAGGGCGGGTGTCCGCAGTTCAAACCCATGCTTCGTCGAAGGTATGTACTACTGGTGAGTTTAAATATGAGCAAAACTCGAATACAGCGTTTACCCCTTTAGTGTGGACTCAGCAGCAAAACTGTTTCAAGAGAGTATGCTTACAAACATCCAACTTCTCAGGAAAAGTTCTGTGGGAGCGTTTGCTTGCACCATCGTCAGTCCCTGGTGAAACCCACGACGAAATATTTCCCGAGTATTTTACACTGACAGAGAATGATAACATTGTTAATATTGTTTCAGAGATACTAGCTAGGACAATGGCAGATGAATCCGCGTTGCATCATTTTTATCCGGTTCAGATACTATCGTGTTAAACATCCAGTATGTTTGGTTACTGAATAGTGAAAAGTAGCCAACAATATCAAAAACAATTTTGATGAAAATGGCCGTCACTTCAAAAGTTTATTTCAATCCTCAATGACTGTTTCCAATAAATACCATTTCCCTATTTTGTCTGACCACAATATATTTGATTTGCAAATGATACCGTTTAAAAAACACCCTACAACTCCCGAAAATGTGGCCAGTTATAGTCCCGAGGCCCGAAGACGTCCCTCACAATACGCGACAGAAAAAAACTAATTAAACGGCTTTCATTATGTCCGAGAACAACCTGGACAAATCTTGAGTAGCAGACCAATTGCCACGGATCTGAATGGACGAGATCGAAAACTAAATGATGTTTATATTAAACATCACGTATTAGAGCGCACTGCCAGATGGTTGAGTTGCCAAAACAACAGGTATGTGCCTAGACAGAATATAAGCAAATTATGGTTTTGCCGGTTGATTATCTCCCCACTACCCAGATATTTGATAGTCCTCATTACCCGCTCCCACATGCATCATTGCCACAGATCTTTCGGTGCCACTAACAAAACGTTTTGGACACTTCTTCTTGTGATCAGTACCCTAATGATTCTATGCTTCTTCTACTTGGTCAGTTACTGCCTTTGCTTTTCTCTGGGGAACTAGCAAAGGAAACTAATGTAGGTGGTCTCTTAAAAGTTGGCCATGAACCTAAATCGAAATTTCAGTGTAACAATAAAAAACGGGTTTCCGACAGCGAAAGGTCGATTAGTAGGTTGGTTTCTCTAGGATGATATCGGGAAATCATTAAACCGATTGAGAGACCGCCGAACTTTACACTGTTGGATGCATCAACTACCCTACACCTAATTTCGTTAGGAAGTGTCCAATCTTCCTGGAAAGTTCTTTTCAGTACCAAGTTTGGCTTCATCTGGTTTTAGGATTTATAAATTCACCTGCATATCAATCTCGCTCGGAAAATTATCTTTCTGTCCTGATACAATCAACCTGTTGAGTCCAAACCAAAGTTGGGAATCGGTGGACCCAGTTTTTATCATCAGTACACATCATTGTCCGTAACAGAATCTAGACTCCGGACATCTGGCACGTGATACGAACGTGTTACCATCACTCCACCGGCGCATACTGGATGCATCTGAAATTTCCCGTCTTAACAGGACAGGAAAATGACTGTTCAATGGTAAGTGACGTAAAAATGAACTTTATAAATCACGGCAACTACCAACAATGGATAGAGGTAATATTCGTGGGAGTAACCACCATTTAGAATCACAGGTTTCAAGTGAGGTGGAACGTTTTCCTAATAAGCATCATGATATTAAGGGTGAGCGTATGAGGAATCATCGAACGCTCGGTCTTCCCCACCGGTAAGGACTGCGGTACTGAGTTAACTTCCTCAGCATATGTTCACTGAGCAAATAGGCAACATTAATACGTATAGTTCAATAAGGAGTGCCTTTCTGTGTTACTTCAATCTCTACTCGAACAGCGTCAACCATCCTGGTGATAGAGTGCATTCAGTAAGTTTGTAACCGTCACTCAGCTTAACCTTGTAGCACAACCACATTGCACAAATCAAGTCAGCGTCTGACTGCCTTCAGTACTACCCAGTCATTTATTCTCAACACTTTCCATGCCTGACTGTCATGCCCACCCCATAGAAGCTAAGATATCGGCAGATTTCTCAAGCCTATGCATGAGTAGTCGAACCACGGTTATTTCGGTCAGTAATTTTGCCCCTTAACTAATAAGCAATCTCAGCCTACTCATACTGTGGATGGCCTAGGATGCAGAAGACAGTAACGCTTAGTAAATGAATATTTTCAGACAAGGTGAGTGGGTTCAGAGTGGGCCCGAGTGTCAAGAGGAATGTATTAGTTTGATGAGTCCGTTGTATCTAGTGCCATTTCAGATGCATACGGTGTTCGGTCTTTCGGTAGCCTGGATAAAACCGGGTGCCACTTTGTAAGCAAGTGTATGAAGTAAATAGGGGTTCAAATGTGGGTGGGCACGGCGTTTTCCGCCAAATCCATCTAGTGCATGACTACTAGTATGATTTGGACGCGTAGAAAATGAATGAAGCCCTAGATGAGTACTGGTAATGAGGTTAGTTGGTGCTCATTCAAATGCGTCGGACCCTAATTTTTCGGAGCTCTTCAGTCCTGTGCAGCAAATTTTGTTTTTGTTCGCCTTGTTAACCACCAGAAAAACATGTCTACAAACTGGGAAGGGACAGTCGAAAGATGTTCTGTTTTTTCATGCTGGAAGATTCTAGAGGAACTATATGTTGAATTACAAACAATTACTTCGTGTTCTTTGCCAATTTTGTCTGATCAATTGGCGTCGTGATAGAAATCACTTGAAGTTAATCGTGGATGATAACCTTCGAAATAACAAGGTTTTATTTTTGTTAGCTGCGACCAATAACGATGGATCAAGTGGGTCTTGCCTGAGTGTGATTAGCACACGTACGGCCATGAAATGTTTTGTTGCTTATTTATAATAAAGGTTATATGAAAAAAAGGCTTCAAAACGCTTAGGCTTGTTAACTCCCCTGAGTTGCCTCCCGAGCTAACCAGCTGGTAACGTTCAGGGGTCGAGTACTAAAAATCCTGCGTCTGCAGCAGAGAATTCACAAGAACATCATGCCTATTTTAATCATGTGCTCTCCGTTGTATCCTCACATGTAATTAGGGATCCTGAGTGAAGTACACTTCAACGTTTCAAGATCTCACTGCGTGATTACCTCTTCAGAGATTTGCATTTCAGTTGCAACCACGTGATATTTCACCATCTAGCTGTTTTTGCACTTGTCCCGTGGTATTCCCTACGTTCAACTCAACGCTTTGAAGATGCAGAAATCGATTTTTTGTATTCACTTCTACCAGAATAACAAGTTTAGATTATTGTGTTCTGAAAACGGTCGGCTGCTTTTTAACGAATCTCTCTTGAGTGCAACGGTGTAGCTGTGAATTTCGGTGGTACGCTGGAGACAACAACCTTGTGAGCAGTGTAGTACATCTCTACGTGGTTAAATTTTTGGACTGCCCTCATGGAACCTTCATACCCATAGAGACAAACTGCGTACCAACATAACCATCACAATTTTCCTAATTAAAGACCAACATTCGTTTCAGCACGTCGTTCATTTTAATACAGAGGCATGTGCTTCCGCATGAAAGTCAGTACCATTGCTCCATTCTCGACTTTCCGTGGAAACAATCGACAGTTGTTGATAATGCACAGCGTAGTAACCTCACTGGTGCCTGTAGGGATGAAACAAAGTTCGGCAAACAAACGCGATCCAACACTATATAACCTAGAGCTATGAGGTGGAAGAACAAATGGCTATCGTCTTGTCTTCTAAACATATTGTTTTTGATCTTCCTTTGCACAGCTCTAGTTGGCATGTGAGGTCTATCCACTAGTGATTGGGAGCACTGTTTTTACGTCGCTTTGTTGTTCCACGTAGTTACCTACCGAGTGGTTTTGCATCGTCTTCTGCAAGCAATTTTTCTAAGTAACTCGTTAAGTTTGGAGAAGACAGGATCAGTCAGTTTTTTTTAATTAAAGACACCTGCGCACGACACCGGACTAGTCGTTCGGTGGACTATCCTACTTTGTGATTTTAAGAGGTAGACTCTGTCCACGGTAAATCTTTGGAGACTGCCTGATGTGCACATTTCTCTCACATATATAGTGGAAACATCGAATCAGTTATGTTCAAATAAGATAGACATTTCCAGGGTAAATGAACATTCATCACTAGATCATCTTGTCACACCTCATATTTTATACTGGATATACACGTCGTATGTAAGAGTACCGCTTGCTCCACACACCCGTTCGCTTAGCCGTATGTCTGGTGGAAACACCTCAGCGGATTCGTCCACAACTTGCCAACGGAGCGCGATGGCCGTTAACAGTCAGCTCACTCGTGTTAATAACTCTCCTGTTTCGGGATGCGGAGTCGGCAATGGGACACAGTAGTGGTCATTGCCCACGACAGTTGGAGTTATGTCATACATGTTGTGGCGGATTTTAATAATGATGAGCCTTCTCAATCCACCAATTGTCAGGCAAACTGAGCCACTTAGCGTCAGAGAGATTACTGGTAGTCAGCTGTAGTGAGTGATTGCCATTCCCAGGTTCTCTGAATCCACGTAAAATGAAAGTTTTGCAGCTTGTGGCATAACATCTTGGCACGTTTTAAACTTGTATAACCGACTGAATTGACTTGTGGCTGTCTAGCGAGTGTTGTTCAGGTTTTGCGTTCCGTCGGTAGTAACTTCAGATAATATCTCAACAGTAGAGTGTTAGTGAATCAACGAAAGATTTCTCCACGTAAAACAACTGGTCCGTAATCCCAAAAGACTGTTGTCGCTCTGACAGTCCCAAGGGTGAACATATTGACAGATGCCTCTGTACTGGTAAATAACTCCTCGAACAGCTGCATAGAACGTCCCGTCACCATGTTCAACAATAGTGCTTCTGTTCACATGTTTGTACATCTGAAATCAAGTATGACTCGGTTAGTCCGATTACGGTTTTGATTATTTTGGTTAAACTTTTTCTGCTAAATTCTGATAAACTAATCTCCCTGATTTATGGGTTGATTTACTAAAGCCTTGTTTATCACTGTTGAGGTTCCCGGTGGTAAAATTTGAGTGACGCGTAGTTTCGACATTCCCGAATATCAAAAGGAAGAATCGGGCTCGAAATTCTAAGGTACTATTTACACAAGTGTAAGCAAATGTGTACAACAAACCTCAGCTTTTCACGTTCATACCCTCAACATGTGTACAGGCCCGTCACTGACCAGCGCAGTGCGATGTCAACTTCCGCACACCAAACAACGGAGAGCGGAATAGTGGTTCAGTGGTGTGGGTTACGGTTGCCCCTTCCGACGAGTGTCGTAATTCTAATTGGCCGTACAGTCACATGGAGCTCTTGAGAAAACAAGTCAAGGCAGGCTCAGCAGACGGGATATGAACGCGCATGGGTAAGTCGGTCAGCTGCGCACACTCAAGCACGGACACGCCAATACACAGGTTTCGGACGAACGGCCTCTGTGGCAAGGTTAGGTACGGTACATATAAGCAAAACAACTGGAGATCAAAAGTACATAAACGGAGTCGCCAAATAAACGGGGTCAGGTTAGATGCTATCACAAATCCAGTATTAAACACTTGGTGTAATAAAAAAGCCCGTCTGCAAATCTGCACTTGCGTTAAGGCTTCGCGGTCAGCAACTGGTTTATAGCTTGCTTTTAGTACAGCTGTATTCCCCCGTTCGCGAACTCCAAGCTTGCCCTACACAGATAACCATGCAGAGTACATTTAACGGAACAAAGGACTGCGAAATCGAAGCCTCGAGCAGTTTCCCCAACTTCTTGCCAACGTTAATAACCAACCGAACAGCCGGTTGCTAAGACCCTTGCCCCACACTGAGTGAATCTTATTTACCTTAGTAATATACAACCAACCCGACTTCCCATTGACTGACTAGTATCCTAAATCCAAATAGGTTGGCTGAGCTTGCAGTATGGAAACAAAACATTTTAGGGTAAGTCAAAATGGAGAGCAGACAGCCATAATCTTACGTCGCTAAAGTGTATCATCGGTTGCTCATGATTACACTAGTTAGTGTGATTCGTTAAATAGCCATGAACAGTGAAATCAAGCAAGCCTGCAGTAAAAACCCTTTTTGGGGACTGTGGAATGTTGTGGCATCGCGGATGAGACAACTACACCCTATTGCTGGTGACCCCTTGGGAAAGTACATCTGTAGTGATGCTAGCAGTCCGGCTACCGTTCTCAGACATACATACTGAATGGTGTGTCTAAGGATTTCAGGGTGATCGTAGTAGTAACCCTTATGTGTTCATTGACACTTTCGTGCTGATATCTTAGCTGTGAGCAAACGAGACGCGCGCTGCTGCTGATGGAAAGCACATCACAGGAGGCTACATGATGATCTAACAGGCACAGAGATAGCTATTGCAATTATGCAACTGATACACAGGTGCCCTTCTACGAATCTCGACAAGCATCATACTGGAATGTGTCACATGAGGCTGTTTCTGACTAGTTGCTGGTGTAATGCTATATCCTGGCTTAGAAAAACATACTAAAAGGGTGGAGAATGAACCACTGGACTTGACAATTCGCGAACAATATTTCTTTCGGAAGATGCACTATATTACTTGAGTACTGGGAACCTGGCATATATACTTGCCCCACTTTAGTTTGTGCAATGTTCTGAAAAGACCGATCCTAATTTATAGATGCAATAGATTTCATAACTTCATTCAAACTGTGAATGTTGTAATGTGCCGCAAATTTCAGGATAAAGGTCGTCTACGGTGGATTGCAGGCGACATAAGAGCGAAAAGTATAAACTCATGCATTAATGAGGGGATATGTTGATCTCTGTTGGGACTAGCAGACTGACAACCCACTGATGAACTTATGTTGACTGGTTGGAACTAAGCTTCCAGCATTGATTAAATTTAACTGCTCAATGATATTGGATACTGTTGGGTATTGTTGGAACCTTGTTGCTTCGTGAAATGAGGTCAATTTTAGGCGGAACAGGTATTTCCACACTCCGGGATGCAGACTTCCAAAGTGAATAGGCAACCGGTGGCAAAGCTTCGGAGCGAAATAACAAGAGATCACTTTAACTGAGAATGATAGGTATGTTTGGGTGTTTAATGATCAATCGTTACTCAACAGCATGACAGGAAGCAGTATTTATTAAAGTGCAGACGGATTCAATCAGTTGAAAAACTCTTGGAACCGATTGAGTAGTCATCGTTTTCGTTCCAGCAATAAATCTCTGATTGTTACCAAACTTTCCGAAAACGCAGACGGATTGTCTGGAGACAGTTGACCCCTTAAACAGGACAGACAAATTGACCCTTGAAGCGCGCCACCACGGTATCCCCCCCTCGAGAAAAATTGGAGACCATGCCTAGAATGATACCCCATAAAGATGGTTTGTCCAGGTACGGATGTTCTATGAATGTTGAGGGTTATGCACCGAGAATTTTTTCTACCCTCGTGACTCAAGCCGACTGTCACAAGGTAAACTAATCTTCGGTGTTCATTTTGACTGCAGAATTAGCAAATCTCGAAAGGCTTTCCACTGAACGTCAATAGCCAAAGCCAAATACGAAATTCTGACACAGCTCTGATTAGACGGAATTTCGTGGAAGAACGTCTGCACATTGTTCCGGGTCAAGGGAATTCACATATCAAATTTGGTGAAATTTCCATGGCAATTTTAATTGTGTAAATAAAAGATAATGAAACAGGGTGCTAGTTTGTTAGTACAACATTTGCGCTTATAACCTACCGGCCGAGTCATTCAAAAATACCTCATTGAGGCCGGTGGTGCCTAGAGGTCAGTGCCAGTCGAGCACCGTAGCCCGTAGGGTGACTCTAAGGGAGATAATTTTTCACAACTTTCGCCTAATTTTTCAGTACACCAGGCTGCATGAGAAGTAAAATTGACGTTATTTCATGAGATGGCAACTTTCCGCCCACTAAGTCGCCATTCTCTTTTTCGAAGGAATACACTGGGCATCATGCGAAACTTAAAAAACTGCAACACAATTGCACAAATATTATCCGAAATTCTGCTTTCGTAGGTGCACCAGAGAGTGTCAGACAAATTCTACAAGTTGTGATGGGGCACATTCCTGTTGGTGTAAAGTGGTCAGAAATCACCTCAGTTTCTTGTCTTATGCGTTTTTAGGTCAAACAATTCCCAAAGTTACAGATGTCTCTCTTGTGTGTTATGCCTTCTGACACAGAATTTCTGGGGTAGACGTTTTCCTAAACAACAAAAGACATTGTTTGCCTTCCCCCATGGAAATTCACGCAAGCGACCCGCGACCATGTGGCCCCCACTGAGGAAGCTTGCTTTACTGTCTTCTTGAAGTGAACTTGTTTCCAACGAACCAGACGTTCGAAAGCAGGTTCTGGGGGCTATAACCTGATGGACGGTCTAGTAGAGGAGCTAGTCAGCCTCTGATTCTTAACCAACGGTGGCCAGGAAATAAGTCAGCTCTTATGATTTGGACGGAGCAGTTTGCTTCCAAAATCTAAGTCATCTGGGCTTGGGTTTTCTGTGTTTCTTGTTGCCTTGTTTGTTGAATTTCATTGTGCAAAGGTTGAAGCAACACCATTAATCGACTCGTGAACTTGAACCGCTGGGCAACCAAGACTCGGGAGCTCGATGCCAGGCGGTCGCAATATCAAATGACGTCGACTGTGGACCGCCAAGAGATCTGGATCTCAGAGGTTTTGAAACATAAAGGCCGTATAAAAAATTTATCTTAGATAAAATCTATCTATTCCGTGATATTCGGACACTTCAGTATTACTAACAATCCAAGAAAAAGCGGTAGAACGGTCTCCGACAAATACAGTGATATTGTTGTCACAATATTTGCGTCTCCTTAACTATAAGGTGTTCGTTATTCTCAGGTTTTCAGTTTTGCCGTCAAACCAGATCCGTACCGTTGAAGTAGGTGTGGACTAAACATTTTCTTTCGAATTCCTTCTGCGTTAAATTTCGGGCTACGTTTGAGCCGCTGAATCTTGAGTAACTCTGAGCATTTATCTCGGCTGTGGTTTGTCGCGAATCTCGTAAACTGTATAGGGGCTTTCTTTTCATCAACGAGAGTCGGTGTATTCTAAGAAGTCATTGATTTGATATTTTGAAGTGTACAACAAGTCTACCTCCTACCACTGGTACACAACAAGTCCTCTAGAGGCCGTCGGAGAAATACTTTGTTGCCAAGTTAGGTCGTCAAACATGAAGACATATCTTGAAGTTGGTTCATGAGGTCGGTCGGTTGGCTGAAAACTTAACGTGTGCTGAAGAATAAAACTCACAACGCAGAATTTTAAGAAGTGGAGATCCACACACCAAGGGAGAAAAACTCCGTTTGTGTAGACAGGCCTGCTGATCCTCTTTAAATAAGGAGAAGTAAGCCAGCTGGATGTCGGTTCCAGCTAATGTGGTTTCACCATTCTACTCCGTTATCATACTGTCAATGCCCAACATATCATCTTCTGTAAAAAAACAATGAGGCTAGTCTGCATACTGGAGTCTAGTTTTTCAGTGCAATCTCCTCTCCGGTTCTGAGTTAAACCTGCAACGTGTGGCCCTTGTAAGCACAAGATAGTTCGGAAGCTACAGGTAAGATTCCACTGTTTAGAAAGAACTCCTAGTTATGAGATCTGGAGACGTGTTCAAGACCATCCATGAAGAATTCTGCAAATGTTTGTAAATCTGTTGCGCGGGAGTGATATGGACCAGATAACAGCAGATAAAGCCTGAGGCCGCAAGTATAATTGCATTCATTCAACAATATGTCAATCATGATACCAATTTCAGAGTTCACGTTCCTTATGCGGCCATCTACTTCGGAATTCGAGAAGATGTTAACCGAATGCTCCATAGAAGTCTTATGAGGCATGGGCAACAGTTTGTCGAGCTTATTTTCTTCCTCAGGGCTGTTTTATCCTTGCCCAGCAATTTTAAATTTTCATTAGTTGATATCGATGAGGTGTCCTCACAAGTCCCGATTGTAAGTTTCTGTTTCACCAATTCAAACAAGCATTCGCCTAATTGACTGTCGAAGGGTAATCACACACAAAATTTCGGGATATCAGCTGTCGCACGGTATATTAACTTCGAGCAGCTGACAGTCTAATTCTTCCGTGGTTCATCTTAGAAAGTGGGCCACCGGTACATCTCTACTACTTGTTTAATTAATCTTGATTAATCTGGATCTTGGGTAGATTCTTTCATGCATGCTAGTCTAGCGTTATGCGAGGAGAAAACGGTATCAAACCGCCGCGTGAAGGCGGTCCGTATGCCATAAACCACCATTCACACAGACGAACGGGCTCAAACATAATAGGCATTACAACGTCGTAATCAGAACGTCCCATACTGCCACTCTTATGACCTAATGACTGTTGGTGTTCAATGCGAACAACCATCCACGTCTGATATATGTTACAATATTCCTTTCGTTGCAATTGCGGTGTGGAACATGGTGGATGTAAAATAAAACAGTTCAGTCGGACGGCAACTAATATTTGTTTGAGCTACCAAGTTCGACTGCATACTTATATACAACCTGAAACACAAATACACTAGCCACCTGCCCCGACCGCGTCAAAAGGCCGTTCGATTGATCATGTCAACAGCACTGTTGCGTGGCTTTTAGATTGGTTTTATCCTTTATACTTGTATGACCTGAAATTCAGTTGTCAAAAACACATGTGTCAATCCTCAGACCTCATACTACAAAAGAGTTTGCCCAAAATGAAAATACACCCCTTAGTTCGCAGAAAAGTGGTCTCCGTTCAAGTGAACACGCCAATTCAACGCATACTGCTCGACCGATAGTTTCATTTGGTCAACGTTTTTACCGCCAACCATTTAGTACTTTACAGGGTAGCATAGCCGTTAAGTTCTCATAAAGTAATTGACCAACTACCTACAGTATACACAAATATATTGAATACTGTCGCATTATACATTAACACAACCTACTCAGTATCCGCGGTTACCAGCAAGAGCATAGAAATACAGGGTTCCTGGTGCAAAATGGAGCGCAACCAAGTAATAGGTACTAATCATCCGGAGCATACACTTGTAATCTTGGTAGCCGTTTTTGTTTGCGATCATTCGATTTGTAAGTTCGCAAGGCCTTTTCCGGGTTCGGACTCACTTTTAGGGTAGAAGCTGTCCTCCGACTTCTAGATCTTGAGGCTGAACGCCGAGATCTCGGACCATTACACCCTGTTCCTGGAAAGGGCGTTGAAACAACGATCGGGTTTAAGGTGGGAACTTCGGAGATCTGGTGTCTGATCCGATGCATCCGTTTTGGTCTACTGGATCCGAATTCTGTGGGTATATCCCAATGTTCAATCGAAGTAATCGAATGAGACGCAGAGGAATCATCGCTGTATGATGCGTGTACTTCCAGCAAGCCATTTTCGTCGTATTTTTCTCCTAAGTCAGTCCCTTCAGTGGATACTGGGGAGAATCTGCTTCGACGGTATCCGGGGATATCAGTGAAGATTCGAAGGGATTTCGATGTTGCTTGATAGAGCTGGTCCCGTATAGCCTTCACCTCCTTTTCTGATTGGCACATGTATGCATCGTACACACGTTTGCCAGTGAACTCATCTCTTGTATACCACATGAATACATCCGGAACTTCTGAGCATTGATAAAAGTGTATAAAGTGCGTATAAGGATAGCTCTCCTGATCCCTTTTTCGGCTAATCAGCAAGTAGTTGGGAAAAAATTCCAACTGGGCAGGGGAATATTGTGTCTGCAAATTATTCTCAAATACTTCTAGAATGGTTTCCTCCGATATCGGCTGGCTTTCTCGCAAAACCGTTGATCCTAAGGGAATGACTGTAAACTTCGTCCGTCTTTGGCGATCTGCAGTAAATAAGCTGTTTTTACTGGTGATTTGGCGCCCTGACGGATGGTGCTTACGCATGTTCGATTGTCATAACAATAAATTCCGGGACGAATTCGTTTTACACCAAAAGATGAAAACGCAACGCTTTGAAAATATGACCAGAATGGATTGTGTTACCTTCCTTTTGGTGTAATACTACGAGTCGTGCACGCATCACAACCAATGGGATCTCGTATGATTGTAAAAACACGTAGCTACCCAGCAAAATGATCCGTTGTGTCACGAGAGCCACTTAAACCACAAAACCACGTGATATGAGATTCGCGCACTCAGTTTTACACAGCAGAGTTCTATCATAATGAACTCACATCACATGCATCAGAAAGCTGTTACGATCACCATCCGAACTTCATGCAGACTTAGCCAACTGTTCTGGGTACTTCACTTCCATCAGTTCGAAAATTAACAATCACGTTACGGATTTCTTAGAAATAATAAATTTTGACAAATTCTCCTCGGCTTTTAGGTGCAGCCAAAACCATGAGTAGCTACAGCTGGTTTGTAAATACCAGGCAACACATGGAATAAAGTGTCATCACGGGATTGGAGTCATAGCAGAGAGATGTGGACTCAATACAAAAAGCCCAGCGACCTAAGACAAAGCGAACTGAAAAAAAGCCAGTTTGATCCTTCACATATCCTCGAAATGGTTCACTCACCGTTAGGTCCCAAGGTATTCAGTTTGTCTGTAGCTGCTTTCAGTTGTCATTACTGTGTCACCATCTGTTTCATACAAAATTATCTAAAGAGGAATTGGAAATGGCGTTCTCTGGCTAAGGAATCGTCGGATATCGTCCTAGCCACCCTATCTTGATAAGCCTCATTAGCTTATCTAGTGGGTCCAATATCATTATGTTGATATATAGGTAGCTTGGGTATACATACTGGTTACCGATCAATCCAAACCAATTGCCAAGCTCAGCGAACAGATCAACGACCAACTGATCAGCCACCAGTGGTTCTAATATGTTACCAGTTGCTGAGTGGTTTATATATCTTTTTGTGGAATTGTTGCAGCCGACAAAATCAGACTATGTTAGAAAAGCTAGTAACCTTATGGCAGAAGAAATCGGTGTTTAAAATTAATTACTGTGTGGAACACTAATAGTATCCTGTGGATTTAAATTATACATTTTGCATACATAACACCATAAACAACTTAGGACAGTTTATGTCAAGCTTGCTAAATGCTGGCTGGATTGCGAAGTTTCGGCATCGTGATATCGAAACTTCCAGAACCAAAGCATGGAGTGTTCTAAACTGGATTTAAATTTACTACATTTTGCAGGTTATTGTGCAAGATTCTGCGGGTTATTGTCACCAGACGATGTCAGAATTATGTTAAAATATAGCATACATTAGTCTGAAGCTGGACGTAACTGTACCCAAAGTTTCGTCTTTAACACGCATTTGATGGTTATCAGGTTGCGGGCTCCGAAATTTTCACAGCTGATAATTACAGGGTTGAATTGCATTTTGTTCATACCAGGATTATTGCTTTCGGAGTATTAATTCTAAAAGCTCTCACAATTTTTCTACGTCACATTACGATGGCACTCTATGCTGTTCTTCATACTCGTGCGGAGTACACCTTCGAGAATGATCAAAACTCTTCCCCGGTGGTGGATTCTTTTCGTAAGGATTACTGTGGTGTCGTTTGATAAGTTCTGTAACGAAAACGTTTGCGCGAACTTTGAAAAAGATCTCTTATTTGCTAGAGAGCATTGATAATCAGCTGAGAGTGACAACTAACACCTGTATTCTTTTTCGTACTGTGTGCCAACAAAGCGCTATCTAAGTAGACATATGCTTACTATCAGTCACTGTGCTTCAAAATATCTGCGACAATAACCCACGAATTAACGAATAAACTAGCGGTGTTCTTACATCCGCAAAGAGAGTCATAATTGTTGGCTGATACCTGAAATTCATCACGCGAGTTAACCTCCTAACATTATCAGCCTCAAAAATTCGACCTAGATAGAACCAAATTCATAAGCAGTGGGTATATCCACAGCAGCGTTACGGACTGAGTCGCATAAACATAAACGCAACATGAACTTTACTGGAATCAGATGCAGATCTTCTCTATGTCCCGGTGAATGTTGAAATTTTTAAGATGGGGACAGTGATTCACACCACAGCGGCTGATAGGCAAAGCGGTGGAAAGTACTAAACATCACAACGTGAATAGAATCGAGAGTGTGGAACGGGCGAGAGTATGCAAAGCGGTCCCAGATAAGCTGAGTTGACACGTGGTTGTGTGGTTGTCGATCCACGTAGAATCACTAGCGAAAACTGGGGGGTGGGGGTGGAAATCCTAATCCGACCAAAGTTCACAGCATCCCTCCTACACAATTATCTTAGCACTAGCTCATCCACACAGACGGACAGAAAGTTCGAGCGACGTTCAAGAGGGACCACCGAGAGGACTGGACCCAAACACATGTAGGTTTCCCCATCGACCCAACACTTGTTCACCCACCCTAACACAAAAATCCCTCGGCCTAAACCCAACAGAGATTTAACTTGATTTAGCTGATTGGTTCTCCTTCCGCCTTAAATCTCGACCAACCTCAGAACCTAGTCACTTGGCTTGATAAAGCTTTTGTAAGTGAAACAAAACATTGCGCAGCAATAAATCTACCGATTGGTACCAAACCTTTTCAAAACCGACGACTACTCAATCGGTTCCAAGTATTTTTCACCGAATTTCTTTATCTTCGGTTACGGTTAGCAACAAAACGACCGATTTCATTTAAGTTTACCATGAACCTAATGATTCTATGTGATAAACGCCTGAAAATCCCGTGACAAAAGATAATAACTTTTATTATTTTTCAGAATATCTGGTTACCATTATTTTCACCAACTAGGCTAGGGAATTCGATGTCACGACCCGGCGTCTGTCACTAAATTTCAGTAGAGATGTGCATTCCAACTGATGGCATGTAACGTTTTAGGCTAAATGATTTAACGTTCAGATCGCCACTAGTCTGTTCTGTCGAGTAAAGAAATGGGCATATTGATTCGTGAAACGAATATCTGTTGGCGGTGCACATCACATATTACGAGTGATCGTGACCCTCATTCCACAGTGCAACATTCCTTTCTCTACCGCCATTGTGATTCAAAACTAAACGGGCACAAATTATGTATGGAACAGTGATGTGCTCGTTAGGTTTTGGTTTAGAGCGAACACACACTACAAAGAACAGCTCAAAACTACATCAATCTTACGGTCCAACAATCTTTGGGAATTCTGACGCATCATTACCGAATGAAATTCGCACACGTATACATTTGGTAGTGCAACCGAATACATCGCATAACCAGGAGTGTGTCTGAACCAGGGAGAACAAAATACAAACCTTGGATGAACATCTTTCGGATCACTTATTACAAAAGTGGACAGTGGAAAGATAAAACCCAATTCTCTTATGATCATACCCAGCTATCCATTTATCTCTCTATCCATCTTCCCAAGTTCTGAGTCCACAACTGTGCTGAAAGTATTATGCTAAGCGAAAATGTTTGTAAAGACTTACGTGAATGGTGTCTAGAACCAGATGGCTATACGTGAATACGATGGTGGGAACGACACCAGATATCCGTTTGCATGAATGGTGAGGCTGGACTGTCCAATTGTGCCCACCTAAAGGGACGTTAACGGGCCGTCCATCCTGCTCATCTTACTCCCTAAGGTTTATAGCTGGTAAGAGATATGCAGGCGGATGTCTTTGAGCCTCAGTAGAATACTTATATGGCACTGCCCATAGAATGCGAATGTTTGTTGGCGCAGTTGGACACAGTAAGCCAATCCAGAAGTGGATCTCAGCTTAACTTGGATGTCGTTATGCATGCATCTCTGTTATGAACTGTTATGCAACTACGATCTAACTTTTAAGCAAACATGACTGCAGCTGCAGTCATCAGCACGTTTCACGACCGCAAAAAATTACCAAGACATGACTGTTTAGGCACAAATCACAAAACTGTTCACATCTGATTCACAGGTTTAAGCAAAGCTCCTCGGATGGTCGTGATATTTGGTTCTTCATTGCTGGGTGCCACCCAGATCAATGACTCAATTCCCACCATCTTCGTGTTCACTATCTGGCCACTGAAAACATTTGGTTCACCCAACTTTCTTGTGGATTAGTTCGTGATCATCTCCATTCTGAATTATCATGTTTCAACCGAAGACATCAGAGAAAATTAATTAGGCCTTCACATGCGACCGCATCACATCCTAATTCCGGCAGTGACCTGACGCATTCTTGGGGTTCCATTCTGTGGTACGCACGTGAATTGGTACAGAGCTATGCAAGGAGTTAATGGAGTCAAGTATGTATAGAGACAAATTTAATATGGAAAGCATGTTACATTTGAGGAGTTAGAAAACGATAGTTTCTTTTCGTTTTATGGGAAGCTGATTTTAGCTCCGGGTTAGGACGAATGACAGAAATATGTTGTGTACATCACTTTAGCAACTAAGTCTCCAGTTGAACAACAATTGTGATTCACCTGTCATTTGCTTTATGCGAACCTTCTGAAATACACTCTGACGGTAAGGCTCAATTTTATTAGGGATATGAAATTTTAGAGGTTCCTCTACAAAACTCGATGTTGTATGGTCTGCGAAAGCACTCTTTCAACTCCTCGTGGATGTGGTTTAGGGGATGTCACGCCCGAATTCGATGCAGGGCCAGATGACGTACTCTCATGTGTCTTTTCGGCGATTTCCGTTCACATAAATCTCTGTTGACGGTAGAGTCACTGTAAGCAAGCCCGTGAGCCTCGGGACAATGTGTGTTCCAGCACTTGAAAATTTACCCTGTACTCTAGGAGTTTTACTGGGCAAGATTGCGGCTTCTGCATTCTTGCGATTAATAAATTACTAAGGATTGCCGTTTTGAGATCGCATGCACCATCGAGTCGGTCGTGTTTTGCAATGGCAACGTTCTGATTGTCTGTAATTAGGGATGACGCTATCCCTGAAGGGAATATTCATTATT